GCTAACTCTTCTATCACTACGGCTACTCTCATGCTGCTACTACTACTACTACTACTACTACTACTACTATACCACTGCCACTACCACTACCACTGCCACTGCCACTGCCACTGCCACTGCCACTACCACTACCACGACCACTACCACGACGACGACGAATACCGCTACTACTACTACTACTACTACTACTACCACCACCACGACTACTACTACTACTACTACTACTACTACTCCTACTGCTAGTGATAGTGGTAGTGGTAGTGGTAGTGATAGTGATAGTGGTAGTGGTAGTAGTTGGTGTGGTAGTTGTAGTCGTCGTAGTAGTTGTAGTCGTCGTCGTAGTAGGAGTAGTAGTAGCAGTAGTAGCAGCAGGAGTAAAGGAACAGCAGCAGCAGCAGCAGCAGCAGCAGCAGCAGCAGCAGCAGCAGCAGCAGCAGCAACAACCATAGTATTCGTAGTCGTAGCCACAGTGGCGTGGTCATAGTTTTAGTAGCAGTTTTTTTTGGTTACGTTCTTGTTGACATCAATATTGCCACTACAGCCTTTACCATTGTTACCATGATGGTAACTTTTGCCATTGGCAGCGCTACGGCCACTACGTACCTCCCCGACGACTGCTGCCTGGCGACAGGTTGTGTGATGCTGACACTGGCATTGCTTGGAATGGAATGCTTCGCTCTTGGCTTGCGTGGAAGTGCATCATCCACCAGGCGTAGAGTATGTTTGTCACGTCTGTCAGCTTAGGAAGGCGGGGCTTTTCCCCCTCTATGGCGCTGGGCTTGGCAAGCTTGCCTTGCATGGCTGTAGCATCATCGACACCAGCCATGGAACGAGCCTCACTCTGCAGATGTCAAGGCGAACGGGAGTTTGCTCAGATGTCTTCCCTTGGGGCGACTTGCTCGATCGACACGCCGCTGCAGTACAAGGTCCGGTTGGGAGAGATTTGGCGATATGATCCACGATTCTGTAGTGCATCGTTCTGTAGCATCTGCCCTTACATGTCAAGGCACCGAAGGCATGCGCCTCAACGACCGGAAGTTGTGGTGCCTCTCTACAGACAGTAGTTTTGCTGTGATCCCGAGTGGATCGCTTGCTTGGTCATTTGCCGCTTGCGAGGGCGAGGCTGGAATCGGGTTTGGAACATTTTGGAACTTTACCAAGCACTTCAAGATATTCAAGATTTGGACAACTTGCAGCCACTGAGTAGCTGCGATCTGACACTCTTTGCACGTTGACGCCCAGTCCTGGCCTCGAGTATGTTTCCTATGGCGAAGCGCGACACTGCCTCAGCGATGTTCGGACTGCCCAGAGCTCTGCTACGGTACAGAAAGCCCGCACACACAAGATGGCCTTTCGCAGCCGCACTGGCGTGCCTAATCGACTGCATACTGTGCAGAAGCTTCCGTTTTCTTTTCGCTCTAAGGGAGATATTCCCGCCAGCGTCGTGGCCTTGGTTCCTCTCGGTTTGGACAGGCCCACTCTTGGCAGGTGCATGGACGGCCTGCGAATAGACTTAAGTGCTGTGACCGGCTTCAGCATGACTTCACCGCCAAGGGGGCTCTGCCCAGCAAACAAGGAAACTCAGACGCTCGTCAGCTGGGTCTTCGATCCCGTGGGTGCAGAGCCCAGTGCTGTCCAAGTGCCAACCAGCGTGTGATGTCGTGTCAGCCTCAGCCTTCAAGCAGTATGCATACGAAGCACGGCAACCACACGTGCGGTGTCAGCAAGTTGCAAGACTTTCTTGCAACATTGTATGAAACGAGCTGCAGATGAAGCGACGGTCGATTGCCAGAGCTTCACGATGGAGTATGTCGGTCCCGGCCTCGGTGGTCATCCCAGCTCAAAGGCTCGGCAGGTGTCGGAAGCCCAAGCAACACAGGCATTCAGCGAAGGCCGTTTACAAAGACGTCAAACATCTCAAGACAATCTTCAGTGCATCGCACCCTGTCAGCCCGGGAAGCTGGTGGTCAAAACTCTTGCAGGAAAGATCAGTACTGTCTAGCTTGTGGAGGCTGGCAGAGCCTAAATCTATGCTGTATACCTCCAAGCATTCTATCCAGTGAGGTTCGAGCCTCCAGTGCAACCTGACCAACACGTCCCGGGTATGGCAGCCCCCAGCGACTTTGCCGTGAGCCAAGAAGCGATGACGGTATGGAACCGAACGACGCTGAATGGCCACGATGGTGCCATGTCGCACAAGTTTGGCACCTTGAAGACCCCCTCCGCCTGAAGCTTTGCCAACTCGAGATCCTTTCGTTAGCCACTGACATCATGAACACGACGTTCTTCAGGCTGAACACCTACGACGACTGTGCCCGGATGTGCGAGAACGACCAGGCCAGCGGACAATTATTCCGAGGTGGTGGACAGGGCCAGCGCTTTTCTCGCTTGAGATGTTTCGATGAAGGTAAAATCTTGCATCTGTGCCGCTTCGCAGGAATGCATGGCGGTGATATTTCATGTGGACGATCCAGCAGGCCCTGGCCCTTTAGGATCCGACTCTCGGCGACTGGGCGCTGTAAAGGCCCAGGTCACAAAGTTGAGCCCCTGCGAGGCGGCCAGGAGTGTGGACCGGACAGCAGGTGGGGCGGCAGTGCCCTGCTTGTGGGATCTTGTGGGTGTGGACAATGGTTCGGCACTGTTTGTATTTGTTTCGAGGCTTTGCTCTGCTCACTGTCAGCTGGTGGATGGCTGTGACACCATGCGGGGAACCTCAGACTGTTTGTAAATATGCGCGCTGGTAACGCCAGTGTGTCCGTCATGCGACCCTCGCATGTGTCTGCTCAGCTGCATTCGGATGAGGGTCTCTGCTGTTCTCCAGCAAAGTCTGCCCTGCTTAGCCCCAGCAGTTTTGGTTGCGATTCTGGATGAGTACAACGCGCATCCATCATGTGCAGATGATGTTGGGCCTGCATCCAGCGAAATCCGGTGCTTCTCGAGTTTTCCAGTCTCCGTTCCGATCCGGCATCAGACAGGCCCATGGAGGGCGGTGTGTCCGCGGACCAATACCACATAGGCCGACCGTGCTGTGAGTTGGTCACCTTGGCCGATGTCAGAGACTGTGCAGCTTTCATTGCAATATGTTTCATTGATTCGAAAGATCTCGAAAGGCCGGAAGATCCAAAAGGAGGCTTCCGAGCTGCCTGGGAACAGCATCTGCACGGAGGCAGCGGTTGCAGTTCGGGGTCTCGACCAGGTGCTGCTGTCTGCTTTGTCCTTTCCACATGCAGCATGAGACCGCAAGCTCGCGCTCGCCAGCACACGCGCAAAAGGCATGGCTCGACGCCGCACCACGCCTCGCCATGGCACGACACGCCACGGAACGGAGTGGCACAAGCCACCAGCTTCGCAGGTGGACAGACCCATGCCGGTCCATGCATATGATGCCGGAGGTGGGCACACAAAACCGATATGTTCAGAATGATGAATGCTGTGAAGAAAGAGCGGTTTGGGGAGGGTGTCTTGTTAAAGCGCTGAGCTTCTGGACATTCCATGCAATGTCTGTTAAGGTGTTACCATCGTGCAATTCGACTCGCCTGTGGAGCCTCCAGCAGGAGTCGAACTCAATCAGGCCGCTTTATTCAAGTTGATTCAAGGTGCGCATTGTTGAGCCCCCAAGAGACGCAACTCCGAAAATGTTGCAAGGCATTCTTTTGCAGCCACATCCTCTGGGAGACCTCCCAAGTTCGTGCCTCGAGGAATTCGTTGAGGTGACGTGCGAGTCGAAGCCTCTAATTGGAGCAGACCAACACTTGCTAAGTGTAGGGCTAGCCAGTTGTTTGTCTCTGGAAATCACGGAAAGGCATTTTGTGTCGGACATATCATGAGTTATGCGTGCAGACAGATACTGGAGTCTGACACCATTCCCGTTTCTTGCTTGCTCCCAACTCAATGAGTCCTTGCTTGTCGTTTGGAGCGATCAGGTCGCTGTAGGCGGCGTTGGGGCCGCCTGCCGGTGGGTTACCAGCACGGTGCGCTCCCCGACCTTCGTGAATGAAGCACTCGATCTCGAAACTTAGCAGACCAGCATCAAGTGCTCCAGGTGCTCCACGTTGAGCTTGGTCCATCTGCAGGGTGCTTGGGTTGACACATCTGCATGCCTGTTTAGCCTCGTCTCTACATGCATCACATCGCATTTCGTTGCCTGTCTGCGTGACATCGCACTATATCGCACCGTTACAGTACAGAGGAGAGGAGAGGAAACGAGACGAGACGAGACCCTGTGGTACGGACCTGTCTGACCTGAGCTGGCTTTCCACGGCGAGTCGGCACTCGCTGCTCGAAGTGCGACCATGGTCCTTGGCAACTCCGTGGCTGATGTTGCTTCAATCTGCAGCAGCGTATATACCGACAATTCAAAGCTCAAGTCTGGTCTAGTGTGCGACTGTGTCACGTGGCAATCAAGCTGTGTCCTCTTTAGCAGACCAGGATGAAACAGTGTTCGTGATGCGCTGTCAAGCTCGTGCCTTCACTGTCTTGCTGCGGTGCGATTGGCTGCATCGTCTCCTTCCCTCCGTTGCATTTCCTTATTCCGACCAGCGCTTCCCCCCTGGCTACCCTGGTCGGCATCTCTGCTCTGCCTCGCGCAGGGTCAGAGTCCTTCCGGTCCTGTCGGCATGCATGAAGCTCATGCGAGGCATTCACAAATGCATGTGCTACTTCGCAGTCTGCCGGCCTGGGGCTTTGTTCTGCTTCCGCTCTTGGGGAAATTGTCCTGCTTCTGCTGTCTCCTTGGTTGCCAGCCCGGGCCAACTCCACGAATTCATTGCCAACTGGGAGCTCCTCGCCCAAATGACCCCAGTCCTCCTACTGGATCGTCTGCCGGGGCACTTATATACACCTTGGTTGTTTCTTCCATGGCGACAACGCCTCTGCGGATTCTGTCTTTTGGGAGATTCCGTCTGCCGCGTCCTGCGCGCAGCTGTGTGTACGTTGCTCACGTTTGCCTGCCGGTTACATGATGTCGCAGATGCATACTGCACCAGTCTGTTCGTCCAGACACTCTGGGCTTCAAGCTCCCCGCTCAAACCTACTCTGAACTTCCGGTCCCGAGACCTCCTTGTAAAGCTGCACTGCCAAAGCATGTCTTCAAATCTATTCTGTCCCGATGTCCGTTCTACTGCCTGCACCTCGTCCGCCCTCGTAAGTCGCAGCCCAATAGCTGAATTGCAGGCAGTTTAGTGTATTTTTCCTGGCCTTTAGGGATGCAGTTTCAAGGTAAGAGATAGAGGTTTTCAGAGTGTCATGATATTGGCGTATGCAACACAATAGGTGTGTCGGCATATGACATGTCCATTTTCACAGATTTTGCGGGTATGGGCTGTCCGTAGTAATTTGCGACTATTCCAGTCACATTTATACAGAGACATGCATATATTATACAAGACGAATAATCATGATAGTAAGAAAAATCTATAATAATAGTAATATTCAGAATTCATAGTCATAATCTTAGTCATCTTATTAGTCATAATGACCAGGACAATAATGAAGATAATAGTAATTGTAATAGCACTAGCAATAGTATTGGTAGTGGTACTAATTTCGTGTTCATATTGATAATTCAGACAAATATTCATACGCATACGAATATGAATATCAATTTTAATGCTAATACTCCTACTAGTATTTGTTAGCATTCATACTAGTATTCAGAGTCATAACACCACTGCTGCTGATACTAGGATAGTATGGACATAAACATTAATACTAATACTAATATTTCATATTAGTATTCATATGAATATTTGCATTTGTATCGACTGATATTCACATGTACAGTAGTGTTAATACTAGTAGTGGTATCAGTATTTATATTCATATAAAGATTAAAACTGATGTTGATACTAAATGGATCTTATTCTGAATGTTAGAGGCGGTATTAGTATGATCGTTTGCAGTTTTAGCAGTTTTGTATTGATTTCAAAACACTGTTTAAACTCGTGTTAATATTGGTATTAACATTAATATTAATATGATGATTAGTACTACTACCGGCAATAATATCAAAATTAGTATGAGTAGTCATATTCTCAATATAAATGTTAGCTTTAGAACTTGTACTCGTAGTAATAGTAACAGTGTTAGTATTCATGTCAGCTGAATACTGTTATCATTATGGTATGACTGCTAATACAAAGACCAATAATATGATTACAATTTTCATACTATTATTAAAGATTGCTAATATCTGTATTAAATGACGGAGCCAATACCAACACCAATACCAGTACCAATACTAATGCAAAAACTAATACTGCTACCCATGTTGAGACTAACAGTAACTGCTGAGATGAAGCCC